AGCCATAAAGGCCAGAGAAAAATATGAAAAGGGATACATGTCAACCGTTCGATGCAGAAGCATGGAGCTAGCCAACAAAAGCATCCCAAATACTACTCGTACACCCTCACGTGTGCCAAACTCGACACCACCAAACGAACCACACCCTTCATTCCCAAAGGTATGCAAGCAAATGGAACATTAAGTGATGTCAAGTCTGACATCGCTAGGCATGAAAATCTATGAGATATATATAAGGCTTTCTTACCCTATATTTTTCTCATGATGAATAAAAAAATGCAACGAATAATAACTTTCTACTTTTTGACATCAGGTTCAGGCATAATCATAGAAGGATCATATACCATATTCATCATTTGCCAATTAAAAACTTATCATGGAAATGTAGCCGAATTTTATCAAGTTCAAGGACAAAGTCAAATATATAGGGTTTTAATACCCTAAATTTTTCCACCATAAATACCAAATACATCAAATCATAACTATCTCTATTTGTCGACATCAAGGTCAAGTATAAAAAGATCATATACCGTTTTCATCATCAATTGACTGAAAGACTCATCATTTAAATGCAACCGATTTTTCCTGAAGTAAGGGACATGGACAAATACATAAGGTTTTAACACCCTATATTTTCTCACAAACAATACCAAATGCATGTAATAATAAGGGTCTCAATTTTTCGACATCAATGTTAAGCATGTTCACAGAGGATCATATACCATTTTCATCGTTTGTCGATAAAATATTGATCATGTAAATATAATTCATTTTTACCAGGTTTAGGAGCAGGAACATTATTGTACATATGCATCAAGTGCACTACTTTAAAATCCCCAACAAACCCAAGAATAGGTGTGGGTGAAGTAATCCCTCCAAATCAAATGAATTATCATTTAATAGATAAGCAATGCAGGAACCAAGCATGTCCCCAAAGCCATAAAGGCCAGAAGAAAATATAAAAAGGGATACATGTCAACCGTTCGATGCAGAAGCATGGAGCCAGCCAACAAAAGCATCCCAAATACCACTCGTACACCCTCACGTGCGCCAAACTCGACACCACCTAACAAACCACACCCCGCATTCCTAAAGATATGCAAGCAAATGGAACACCAAGTGATGCCAAGTCTAACATCACTAGGCATGAAAATCTATGGGACATATATAATGCTTTCTTACCCTATATTTTTCTCATGATAAATAAGAAAAAATGCAACGAATAATGACTTTCTACTTTTTGACATCAGGTTCAGGCATAATCATAGAAGGATCATATACCATATTCATCATTTGCCAATTAAAACACTCATCATGGAAATGTAGCCGAATTTTATCGAGTTCAGGGACAAAGTCAAATATATAGGGTTTTAATACCCTATATTTTCCCACCATGAATACCAAATACAATGAATCACAACCATATTTAGGTATCGACATCAAGGTGAAGCATAAAAAATTCATATACATTTTTCATCATTTATCGACTAAAACATTCATCATTTAAATGCAACCAATTTTTACTAAAGTAAGAGGCATGGACAAATGTATAGGGTTTTAAAAAATTCCTAATAAGGCCTAAATAATGATGGTTAGGTCACTTAATTTTTAGGTTGACTATCCCTTCCTTTGACTATGGTTGATCCTTCATTCTTGTGGGTGGGCTCCCTAACAACTATCTTCCTTAAAGGCATAAACATAATTTTTCACTCTTCTAAAAATTTCAACAAGACTTTATCTTTGCCTCTCCCTCTCAAGTTGTCTGCTAAAGAACTATTTAGTTAATACTTTAATTATGGAGAAAATAATATTATAAATTATATAATGCACCTAACTATTTGTGTGACAAAATAACTTTCTTAGACAATAAAATGTGTATGATAGAACTCTTAGGATCAAACAATAAAATAATTTTTTTAAAATAATAAAACTAATAACAAACTTGGAACTTAACCTAACTACCTGTGTGACAAAACAACTTACTTAGATAATAGAATGTATGATAAAACTCTTAGGCTCAAACAATAAGATAATGAAACTAATAACAAACCTGGAACCTAACCTAACTATCTGTGTGACAAAACAACTTTCTTAGACAACATAATGTATGATAAAACTCTCAAACTCAAACAATTAAATAATTTTTTTTAAAATAATGAAACTAATAACAAACTTGGAACTTAGTCTTCAGCAAGAGAAGTTAAAAAAAATGCTCTCAAAGCTAAAATTATAGAACTGGAAAATATTGAAAAACCCTACCTTGAAACTCAAGAAGCCTTGCCCTTGAGTTAAGTAGACAAGTTAAAAAAAATAGTTTTAAAATATTTATGACTTTACACACATTATTCTAATTTATATATGGATAAATATTATTTTCCTAAAAAAGATACATTTGTTTATATCAAATATCATTCTTTATATGGGTTATTTATGTTATTTAAACACATTTAATCCCCATTTTACACAACAAACATGAAGGGAGATCAATTTTAATTCTTCCCATTTATTTTTTCCCACAAAATAATCTAACAATTATCTCATTCTACTTTTTTTTTCTTTGCATTTCTTTTCTTACACCTCTTTAGTGATCTCATTCAAAATAAAATAATAAATGATTTGATTTGAAAAATTAAATTAACATAAAATTGTTAATTGAATAATTAATACTTTTTTCCTAAAGTGAAAGATAAAGTAGATGGGTGAAATGTAATTGTATATGCATTATAAATTTACTAAAATTTCAATTTTTTACTTGTTAATTTTAATTAATGTTTATATTTTGTAATTTTACTTTAGAGAATCAATTTGTTTATATTTTATATCTCTTTTCCTTCTTTTTAACATAAACAAATTGGATTGTATCATAATTCATATTGTCTATTATGTGTATTTTAAGAAGTTATTGAACATAAACCAAAATGACGATAACAACACTACTACTTGGTTAATAGTATTACAAAGAATAATGATGTATCAATATCCCACGATATAATATTTTGATTAGATAAATTTTTTGTAAATTTATATAAAATATTAATTAAATTTCCAGAAGCTTTCTAATTTTTTTACCAGTAAAAATTATAATTAACGATTCTAAAGTTTAAATTTAAGATGTTGGGTATTTTATTTCAATTCTATGTCATTATACATATCCTAGTAATTCAAAAGTTCTCCTATTTAATTATTTTCTATAAATTTGAATGCTAAAATTGATATTGGAACAATTTGTTTAAAATTTTAAAAAATGATTATAAAATAATTATTTAATTCTTAAAAAATAAACAGTTGCTTACTTATAAAATACTCACTTTAGACAAACATTTAAAAAACTATTTATTATATTTAAAAATGTTTTTAAATTAAATTAAATAAATGGACCATTAATATATATAAAGAAAAAATAATTTATTTTGGGTCAGTTTCTTATACATGTTAAAAGAATACAATGAACTTCATATGTTGTCAGCTTTTAATTATTTTGAAAACGGAAACTAAGGCATGATCTTTTCTATAAGTTTAAATTTAAAAAATAATTTAGTATGGTTACAATGATCTTATTGGGCTAAAAATGTCAATTTTCAAAATTTAAAATTTAAATCTATATCTCATTAAACAAGTTTAAGCAAACAATTAACTAGCTCATCCAATATCATCACATCTACACTATCTACATATTATACTTTATTGCAGAGAAAGAAAAGAAAAAGGAATAGCACAATAATATAAAAAAAACCATAAACTTATTCTTCGTTTCTCACTTTTTTTTTTGCAGAGAATTTATCTCACTTTATAATTAGAAACATAATTTCCCTTTATGTTGTTTGAATATAGATGTTTTCATTTAGTGATGTAGTTTGATTTGATATATCTTCTAACATTTAAATTAAAATAATTATTTGAATAAAAATAATTTTAGTAATTATTTTTTAGTTAATAATAATATGAAAAGATTAAAAATCTATTAGTTATAAAGGAAATCAAAATAGAAAATTTATTGCAATCAAAAGCTTGAAATGAAACTACCTCATAGATACCATTCGTGCTTGCAATGGTGCAATGACTTTTAGCTTCACACTCATGATTATCTTCAAAGACCTCAACAGATCTCTAACACTGCATGAGCACATCAAAGATTTATGTTGTGTTATAAAAAAGTATTAACTATTTTATAATACAACATAAATCCTATCCATGACACTAACTAGAGATTAAAATGAGTATAGGAAATGCAATTAAAAAAAGAGGACGTTACATTAGGGGGAAAAACACCTTGGTTGAACAAATTCACTATCTTAAGTTTTTGCTTGTGCTTGCTCTTTAGATCAACTGCATCGATTTATCACCTAGCATTAAACAATATATATATATATATATATATAACAACATAGGATCATTATTATATAAATAATTTTAATAACATATAAGTAAAATTGATAATGGCATTTTACGTGAAAGCATGCAACTTAAGTAACCTATTTAACTACTATAAAGAATAATACCACAACAAGATACACAGAACCTGATAATGAAGGAAGCAATAAACCCTTTAAAACAAGAGTGTCTTCTAAAATTTTGTTTAACATGTGCAACCCTTCACTACTATTTACTATATGGATAGTGTAGCTAAATTAGTTTTGTTTTGTTGGGGATGAACCCTCTCCCTTTCAAAAATATAAATAAATAGAAGAAAAAAAACAATATCTCTCAAAAAATAAACAAATAGAATAAATGAATATCAAGATGGAAATAAGATCGAGTAGTGTTGTGTGATGATGTATGCACTTATAAAGGGTGGAAATTTCAATGTGGCTTTTGGGAGAGTACCATGATCAACAACAAAAAACAAAAATGAATAAAGATACTTAAGGAGATAATAGAAGTTTAATCTTTCATTTATTACTATCTTGATTTTGCTAAAGGGATGCCTGATAGAAAAGTCAAGAGCATTATGATCATTATGAAGATCATTACTTCCAAAAAAATTTGAAGATCATTATGATCTTCCCACTCATTTAGAAAGGGAAAAATGAAAGGAAAAAGATTAGAGGAATATTTGACATAAAGATATTAATAGAATAATATTATCAATACATTTATCAGAATTTTTTTACCTTGAGGACAAAAACTCCTCATAATGTTTCTGTCTTTGTTATATTCAATTGCTACTCTGAAATTATTCACCTCAAATTCAAGAATCAAAGTTTCAAAACATTGATTTCCAGAATTTTTTTCTTGAGCTATTTCATACCCTTCTTTTTTATATTCAATAGCTGCTCTGTTATAATTTGTTTCTCCGTTATTTCAAGAGTACAACATAATAGTAAACACTAAAAGAAGTTCCTTATCATATAATACATTACGTTTAGTTTAACCCAAAAATGGTTTTGAAGAACATCTTGAACAACACACTAAAATGGTTTTCAAGTTTGAGCAATCAAGACTTGTTTCATAGGCAATGTCAACCCAGAGGATTTAAGGACACTCAAGGTTAAAAAATGATAAGAACAATAAGTTGCTGCCTTCAAACAGAGAAAACAATTAGAGAAGTACCTTGCACATAGCATTATCTTGAGCTTGAGGAGTTGCAAACTTGCAATAAATCCTGCAATCTGTATCAAGAAGAAACTAAACTGAGACGGAGATTTGTAACAGAAGTATCAGGAACCATAGATTTATCTTGAGTTTGGGAGTTGCAAGAAAATCCAACAATCTGTATCAAGAAATTAAACTGAGACAGTGTTCTGTAACAAAAGTATCAAGAACCTTAGCATTATCTTGAAAACGAGGAGTTGCAAGAAATGCAAGAAATCCAGCAATCTGCATCAAGAAGAAACTAAACTGGCCAGCAAATTTGTGATAGATACCTAATTAAATCTGTATCAAGAAACATACCTAATTAAATATGTATCAAGAAGCATCTTCTTTTCTTTCATATGCTTGTACTGTCCTCCGTCACCACCCTCTACCACAAAATCCTCTTCTCCATCATCCATTACTTCCGAGGTCTTGAGAGTTGAGCCCATCCCTGTTACTTCTCACCATTTTTCCTTTCTCCACTTCTGTTCACCATAAACTGTGACCTCTGTAAATACAATATAATACAGAATGGTGGTGTAACTCATACCATTTCTATTTAAGTTTAATTTTAATTAAAAAGATAATATGATTTACCAAATACACCAGAGGCTAGAAAGAATGTATTTTATAAATGTGGTTAAAAAACAACCGAACAAAGAAAAAAAAATACACGTTCAAGAATTTCAACAAGAAAGGCTTTTCTTCACTTTTGAGAGAGAGAAAAAATTCAATTTTAGAAACATTGAATAGCTTTTCCATTTCAATCAAGAAAGGGTGCAGCATTCAGTTGTTGACTTTCCTTTGGCACCCTCGGCAGTGGATGGAGACAATGACCACAATAAGGGTCTGGGAGACAGAGGCATTTCCCTTGCATTGGAGAAGCTCTACTTGTACTTGTGCATTCTACTTCTTGAGTGGAACTTTGAAGAGATAAGAAACGGATGACAGATAACTCAAATAGATAGGAACTTTTAAAAAATCCCTCAGCCCAAAAAGTCCATTTATGAAAAAATTCATAAAGTCAAAAGGCCCACAAAAATAGAAGTAATATTTTAACCAATATTTATGTTTCAAAAAATTAATATTTTAACAAAATAGCCATTTGTGTAAAACAAAAGCTAAAATGAACATCACTCCAATCAAAGTAAGAAGAAAGCCATGCACTCACCGTATTAAACGTTCAACTGCTTGTGAACCATATCCAAGCTGAAATCAAAGAAAGATAAAAGATAAGTGGGGTGTTGGAATTCTGGAAGAATCTGGTAAAACAAAACCATAAACCAAAAGATAAGTGGGGTGTAGCAATGTGTACAATGCGAGCACCTGAAAGTGAGGGAAAAACTGTGTCTCGAAAATGCTCACAGAATTTCCATGGTATTTGATCTCCAAAAGGTTTATGACCATTGCTCAAACTTTGGATTGCTGACTGATGAGATATTGACCCCTCAAGGCAAACCTCCTAACCTCTCATGGAAAATATACAGTTGGATTACGTCGTCACGTAACCCTGGTGATCATGGCCACTTCATCCATCGGTATGACTCGGCCTTGCCCCCATACCGGTAGCAAATAGAATACTTAGAGAAGTACTTCAGAATCCACCTAACATCTGAAGTGGTTTGTTATATAATATTTGAAAAAGTTCCATATTGGAATCCTCACCATGGGACTCCTAAATTCCATATTTTTTTTCAAAGATTATATCCTGATCTCACCAAGAGATCTCCCAATCCATACCATAACCTTACTCCTCTAAGTCCTATTAGCTTTCCAAACCACACACATATAGCATATTCCATAATTACATACAAATTTTCCATAACCATGCCAAATCATTCAATATAATAACATAAATAATTAAACACCTAAAACAACCATCAACTTAAACAAATGACAATCTTCATATAAACAAAATAGCATATTAAAAGTTATACTACCCCTATCATGCTCATACATACTAGATTAAGTCTTATAAGTACTACCCTTACTTGGATAAACAGGAATCGAAACTAGGGCAGAATCTTCTCCTCTCCCTCCTCTTTTCTTCACTCTAACAGAACTTCCTTCTCTGGATTTCTCTTCCTCTCTCTCCTCTTTTCTTTCCCCTCTTCTCTCTTTCTTTCTCTCTCTCTCCTCTTTCTCTCTCTAGGATGTCCTTCTCTCAGATTCTCAATTTCTCAACCCCCAGCCCCCTATTTATAGACTTCTGCTGACCTAACTCGGAACGGCCCGTTCCAAAAGTGGGACGCCCGTTCTGGGCCCTTTAAATCTACGCAAATTTTTGAACTGGAACGGCCCGTTCCGAAACCAGAACGGCCTGTTCATTGACTCATCCAGAATGGCCCGTGGGCTTTAAGATTTATTTCATTGAATAAGGGCTCATGTATTTTCTTTTGATATTAATTAAAATGCATTCATTCTTTTTTCATCTCTTGCCTCTTCCTTTCTCCTTAATCCCTTTATCAATCTTATCCTAACTTTAAATAATGCATATTTGAGAAAAATGCGCTTGAAAGTGACAATGCTAGTGTTGCATCAAATAATTTTGATTGTCCCATTAATCAAACTTGTGAGGAAATAGAGGATGATTTAGAGCCTTCCCCTGAGTTATTAAGATTAGTGGAACAAGAGGTCAAAGAGATTCAACCACATGAGGAGCTAATCGAGACAATTATTTTGGGTGACGAAGAGGAAAAGAAAGAAGTCAAGATTGGCACGCTCATGAAAGAAACTGAACGTAATAAGTTGATAAGGCTTTTACATGATTACAAGGATGTTTTCGCTTGGTCGTATCACGATATGCTAGGGCTTGATACTAGCATAGTGGAACACAAGCTACCGTTGAAGCCAGAATGTCCTCCCGTCAAAACAAAGTTGAGACGAATGAAACCAGAATTATCTTTGAAGATTAAAGAAGTGGTTAAAAAGCAATTTGACGCAGGATTTCTAGCTGTTGCCAAATATCCACAATGGGTTGCCAATATAGTACCAGTTCCTAAGAAAGATGGGAAAGTTCGTATATGTGTGGATTATCGAGATTTAAATAGAGCCAGCCTGAAGGATGATTTTTCACTACCTCACATTAATGTATTAGTAGATAACACAGCGCAACATTCATTCTTTTCTTTTATGGATGGATACTCAGGATATAACCAAATCAAGATGGCTGAGGAGGATAGGGAGAAAACGACATTTATCACACCGTGGGGCACCTTTTGCCACAAGGTTATGCCATTTGGGCTAAAAAAATGTTGGGGCAACATATCAAAGGGCAATGGTGACTTTGTTTCATGACATGATACATAACGAGATTGAGGTCTATGTGGATGACATGACCTCAAAATCAAGAAAAGAAGAAGATCACGTGATCCATATGAAGAAATTGTTTAAACGGCTAAGAAAGTTTAAGTTGAGGCTAAATCCATCGAAGTGTACTTTTGGTGTGAAATCTAGTATGTTGTTGGGATTTATAGTTAGTCAAAAAGGGATAGAAGTGGATCCCAACAAGGTTCGAGCAATTCTTGAGATGCCACCACCCAGCATAGAAAGAGAAGTTCGAGATTTCCTGGGAAGATTGAATTACATTGCCCGATTCATATCTCAATTAACAGCTACTTGTGAACCCATTTTCAAATTGTTACGTAAAAATCAATCAATGAAGCGGAATGATGATTGCCAAGCAGCCTTTGACAGAATAAAATAATATCTACAGAGGCCACCAATTTTAGTGCCACCAGTCTCTGGAAGGCCTCTCATTATGTATCTAACAATGCTTGATGGTTCTATGGATTGCATCTTAGGCCAACATGATGATTCTGGAAGAAGAGAGCAAGATGTCTATTATTTGAGTAAGAAATTCACTAATTATGAGATCCGATATTCATTGTTGGAGCGAACTTGTTGCGCCTTGGCATGGGCAGCTCATCGTCTAAGACAATATATGCTTAGTCATACAACATGGTTGGTGTCTAAAATGGACCCAATCAAGTACATCTTTGAAAAACCTGCTCTCACAGGAAGGATTGCTCGATGGCAAGTTCTCTTATCAGAATATGACATCACTTACATGACCCAGAAAGCAATTAAAGGAAGTGCTTTGGCAAATTATGTAACGACCAACCCTAGGCCGTCACATCCAAAACCAACAAAAAAAAAATATATAATAAAGAAAATAGAGCAAGGGCCAGCTATGCTAGAGTGTAAATATACAATAACATATAAATTGTTTTCAAAATATAAAACATATTTTTATAGCAGAGTTATCATCCTCAGTAAGATTATACAGTAATCCAAAAAGATAATATAATTACAATATCATGAAAGTATCAAAATGAGACACCCTAGGTGCTGGTCAAGCTCTAAGTCTAGCTACCTCTTAAAGCAGTTACCCAAAAAGACTCCTTGCTATCGCAAAGCCTCACACCTGATCTGCTCCCCCACATAGTGAGATCATCACAGTCCACATCATGAAAATATAAGGGTTAGCACATATAAAACCAACCATAGTACAATAAAATAGAATATCATTAAAATAGATGTTTCATTAACAGTATGTATCCATACCAAGGGAAAGAAAACATTATAACAAGTCATTTCTATGCCAAATATAAACCAATACAAAATCTAATGTATACACATCCATGCCAATGCATACATATTTTATGATAAAAAAGAATCCATAACCCAATGTATACAATCCATACCATATGTATACATATTGGACATCCAAAACAAAGTCACACCACTGTATAATCCCATGATGTAACCAACACGTCCAAACCAAATGTTGGGCTCAACACACCCAAACCAAGTGTTGATTCGATGAAACATGTCATCAACCCATGTCTCACACCCAACCTCTCATGGAAAATACACAGTTGAATTACGTCGTCACATAACCCTGGTGATCATGGCCACTTCATCCATCGGTATGACTCGGCCTTGCCCCCATACCGGTAGCAAATAGAATACTTAGAGAAGTACTTCAGAATCCACCTAACATCTGAAGTGGTTTGTTATATAATATCTGAAGTGGTTTATTATATAACCTTTGGAAAAGTTCCATATTGGAATCCTCACCATGGGATTCCCAAATTCCATATTTTTCCAAAGATTATATCCTGATCTCACCAAGAGATCTCCCAATCCATACCATAACCTTACTCCTCTAAGTCCTATTAGCTTTCCAAACCACACACATATAGCATATTCCATAATTACATACAAATTTTCCATAACCATGCCAAATCATTCAATATAATAACATAAATAATTAAACACCTAAAACAACCATCAACTTAAACAAATGACAATCTTCATATAAACAAAATAGCATATTAAAAGTTATACTACCCCTATCATGCTCATACATACTAGATTAAGTCTTATAAGTACTACCCTTACTTGGATAAACAGGAATCGAAACTAGGGCAGAATCTTCTCCTCTCCCTCCTCTTTTCTTCACTCTAACAGAACTTCCTTCTCTGGATTTCTCTTCCTCTCTCTCCTCTTTTCTTTCCCCTCTTCTCTCTTTCTTTCTCTCTCTCTCCTCTTTCTCTCTCTAGGATGTCCTTCTCTCAGATTCTCAATTTCTCAACCCCCAGCCCCCTATTTATAGACTTCTGCTGACCTAACTCGGAACGGCCCGTTCCAAAAGTGGGACGCCCGTTCTGGGCCCTTTAAATCTACGCAAATTTTTGAACTGGAACGGCCCGTTCCGAAACCAGAACGGCCTGTTCATTGACTCATCCAGAATGGCCCGTGTTCCTTCCGGAACGGCTCGTGCTCCTTCCAGAACGGCTCGTGCTCCTTCCAGAACGGCCCGTTCTCCTTTTGGAACGGTCCGTTCTCAATTTTAATCCTAGTTCATTTTTGGCGCTTGGAACGGCCCGTTCCGCTTTTGGAACAGCCTATTCCAAATTACCAAAACACCCTATACCTTTATAAAAATTTACAAAAATGCCATTAATAAATAATAATAAAAAAAATGGGTATTACAATTCTCCCCAACAACAAAAATTTTCGTCCTCGAAAATTCACTTACTTAAAAAAAGATATGGGTATTGATTCTTCATCCTATCCTCCAACTCCCAAGTGGCTTCATTAGGAACCTCCTCCCAAATAACCTTCACCAGATTGATAGATTTACCTCGCAACTATTTAACTTTCTTATCTGCCACTGAAACTGCTGTTTCTCAAAAGTTAAATTCTTCTTAACTTGCTCTGCCTCTAATTCCAAGACATGACTCGGATCGTGAATATACTTCCTCAGTTGTGAAACATGGAACACATCATGCAAATTAGACAGGAATGGAGGTAATGCAATCTGATATGCCACAGGTCCAATCCTCTTGAGAATTTGATACGGCCCAATAAACTTAGGATTCAACTTCTTAGCTTTGATAGCTCTTCCCACACCTATGGTAGGAGTTACCTTTAAAAACACATGTTCTCCCTCTGAAAACTCCAAAGGTTTCCTCCTCTTGTCTGCATAAGACTTTTGTCGACTCTGAGAAACTCTCATTCTTTCCTGAATTTGTTTCACCTTTTCAGTAGTCTGTAAGATGATCTCTGGCCCCACCATCATTGATTCTTCCACTTTAAACCAACACAAAGGTGTTCGACACTTCCTCCCATATAGAGTCTCAAATGGTGCCATTCCTATACTTGCATGAAAATTGTT